TTTCCCTCTATTCCCTAACTTTCTTGTTCAGTTACATCTATAGCTAAACTGTAGGCTTTGGGGGGAATTTTAGGTTTTGATGGAGCACTCAGCACACTTTTGGATGCTAAAAAGTAAGTAGTAGAAACAACTTAAACATTCCAGAAGCAGGAGGATTTAAAACAAGAAAATACAATAGTTTACAATTATGTTAATGTATACATTCATATTAATGTACTTCAAGATTATCATTCACGGTGGTGAACAAAAGGCTCTATAACCTATCAGTTATAAAAATGCTATTTCTGGTCTTTATGAAATAGTGAAGAAAGCATAAACAAGAGCTTTCAAGAGTCAAATCTGTAAACTTCTGATCAAAAGAATTCATTCTTAACAGCACTGCTAAATGTTGGTCATTACAAAGAATCTTACCGGATCCAGGTTTTTAAAAAGAAGAATGTCCTTGCATGCCTCCTGCAGTCTGTTTCTTTGATCATCTGTTTTAGGGTGAATAATCTGAGGGATATAATAGAAACACCTTTAAAGTGGTTATCATATAGCACTAGCTGAAGGACTGAGCTAATTCAGCTAAGCGTTTTACACAGTATTTTGGCCATGCTTCATAACACTTTCATTCCAAAAGCTTCAAGATTTGAATAAACCCTCAATGAAAACATTATATCACCATAGCATTAGCAAATGAAGCACTGCTGTATTTAAGCTAACAAGATCTTTACATTTGTAGAATCCATCTCATTTCTGCAAGCCATTTACCTTTATCTCAACTACTACTGCATAAACATTACTCTACTACTCTCTAATCATATTTGGAGCATGCACTTTTTGTAAAAAGCACCATTTAGCCATTTGCCATGACTACATCCCAAAGACTATTTTGTGAAATAATATCTGTGTTAAATTTATATCAAACGTTTCATAGAGTAAACAACAGAATTGACACTATCCAAATGAGCCAGAGATTTACTAAATTAACAGTGTCTGGTTAATGTATCAATCAAATTGTTAATTCAACTCATATGCTTAAAAAGGGTATGGTCTGTTTCAAAGCTATGATACTATACGATAACCTTTCTGACACTTTACAATACAGAAATTAGGTAGAATACAAGCATTTAAGCTTAAGTGTCATACTTCTGCTATTTCATATTAAAAGCTAAGTAAATGCAGTTAAAAGGGTGACATAAGTAAAATAAATAAATACAGTTCATTAGCTACTGCACTGTACATCTGAAAATTTTAGCCATTTTATAATTTACCTTTTTTCTGCCTTATGAAAAATACAAGAATATTGAGAAAACTACTGCAAGATTATGAGAACAACAAGTAAGTACTTTTAGAAGCAAGCACTTTCTGAGCGAATATAATTGCACAAAAATATTTCCTTAACAGATCATGTATCAAAGGTGGTGTAATTTAGAAGAATACTCACATCAGGTCCTACATGTGTGACTATTACAGAGAATTTTTAAATGCTCCTTTCACTAGAAAATCCCAGAGATTATTAGAGTATATTATAATAAGAAACCTTTTATGCTAGTTACATTTTTCTTCTGAAATTTAATGCCTGCAAACTGAAAAAAATAAGCATTTGATTCAAAGCATTAAGTACCCTAGATTCTGCATCATCCTCTTCCTCATCAGGATTGTAAGTTTCTGCGCACACTGAAATAAAAACAAAAATACAATCTTAATTCAAAGTACAGTAATGCTTCACAAGATTTACAGAACAGAAAATGCATTGTGTAGCACAGTAATAATACACAGTAATGTAACACACTCAGTAGAGAATCACAGAAGATACTGCTGATAGGGTCCATGGCAGGTCATCTCCAAACTGGTGAAATAAAGTTATCCTTGTATCCTTTTTTACATGTTTTCTGTGTCTTAAAAGACCTCTAATATACGTATAAATTTCTCACCTAACCTGTTCTAAATGATCTAATTATCAGAGGGGGTTTTTTCTGATGTCTAAACTAATTCTTGTGAGAATTTAAACTATCCATACTGTATGCAGAGATCAGATCATTCCCATCATCTGTGTAAGTTCAAGGTGGTTTGAGCTTTTTTGTTGTTTGTTTGGGTTTTGCTTGTTTGGTTTTTTTGGGGAGGTTTTTTTGCATACTTGAAAACTTTTCTTTCATATTTATCTTTTACTTTTTAGGGTAAATAATTCTCATTCTTCATTTTTTTCCCCTACAAGCCACGTTTTTCAGCTCTCTAACTATCCTCATTGCTGTTCTCTGAATTCCCTCCAATCAGCCCTATCTTTTTATTGAAGAGTGATGCTCAAAATTGAAACCAATTTTTGAACTGAGCAGAGTACTGAGTACAACAGATTAATTACTCCATACACTTTACAGGCTATATGTCTTTTCATTCATACATACCTTTTGTCACAACAGCTTGATTAAGTGTACTCATGTAATATTCGTGACTTGCATATTGTTTGCAAAACCCACTGCTTAACCAGCTGTCCCGTGTCCTGGGTATGACTATTCTGCCCAAGTGTAGTACCATGCACTTGCACCTATTAAATAGTACCTTATTCCCCAAGCCATTTCTGCAGTATGTCACGGTCATTTTCAATTCTAATCCTGTCCTCTGGCATCCTTCCAATCCAGTCTCAACTTTGTCACAACTGCAAATTTAATAAGCATACTCTCTAATGCATAATCCAGATTATTACTGAAAAAAAACCCAACCAAACCCAGAATAATGTCTAAAATAAACTCTTGTGGAATACACATATGGCAGTGAAACAGCAGTAGCTGCTTGGGGGTTACCTTATCCAACCAGTTTTGCAGCTTTATCCCATGCAACTTACATTAAGACACTGCTTGATGTTCCCTAGGTTGTTTATAGAGGAGTCTTGTGAGACAGCACTCACAAGTTTCTTAAAGAAAAAATGTAGGACATCTGCTCCTTTTCTTTTATCCACAAGTTGCAATCTCTTGTTATTGGGTATTAGATAGTTGCAATGAACCCATGCTGATGGCTGTTGCTCCAGTTGCTGAAAAAAATTTGACCATTTCTCTGTAATTTCTCTAGGAACAAAAATGATATGTAAATCTGCGATAGGCCTCTTCCCTCTGTAGCTCCCTACCCTTTTAAGGATCAGTTTTTCTATTATTCTGTTTTTTCACATTCTTGTTTTTCTTCTTCAGATTCTCAATGGTAATTGAGAATTATTGAGAACAGGGCTAAGACCAATTTAGCCAGTTCTTCCAGTTTCCAAGTATAGCGCGTCTCAGGCACAGCTAACCTGGGAACACCTAACACACTGAGTACTCTCTGATTTGTTCTTTTTCTGTTCTAGGCTGTTTTCCATATGCTCTTAATAGCACTCGTGAAGACTGATGTGTTTCTGTTAAGCAGCAGAACAACACTTTCCTAGAACATGCTCTTACCAGAAATACACTTCCAGAACCATTTCTGTTACTCCTCATGTTCTTTCTTGTACACAATCTTTCCTGGATCGCATTTTTTGGCCTTGGCTTCCTAGAAATTTTTTTTCCTACACCTTTTGCTGTTCTTTTGCATTTGTTCTGAATAATCCGAACTAGTTCTAATTTTCTACATGGTTCCTTCTTGTGCTTGATATAAATAAGGTGCTTATATTTTAGACAGAATTTTTTGAACGATGCTTTTTGTCCTTCTCCTGTGCTGTCTCAGTTTGCATTTTTTTTCTCTTCATACTTTTTCTTTGACGAACAAACAATTCCTTTAACATCTTTTCTCCACACTCCCTTCCAAATAGGTTATGCCCACAGTCCTCTCATATCCCCTTGAAACCTGTTCTGATTC